TATATATTATTTCTGAGAGGATTTTAATATTTCTTAGTTCAAATCTCACAATAAAAATTTTTACATTTTATAAATTCAAATTATTTAATGACATATTTATAAATTAACAAAAATATTACATGTTTTATAAATCAATAAAAATGGTGATCATAGGAAAGATTATTTTCACAACAATATTATGTAATATATTTGATATGTATTGGTGAAATAATAATTTATATTTTCACCATATTTCGGTGAATATAGGAATAATTATATTCAGCAATGTATTTGAGGAATATATTGGTGAAAATAGGAATTATTATTTCACCAATATATTACATAATATTTTCATAAAAATAATTTTCTTATTTTCGCCAAATTAGGAGATAAAATAAGTGTATTATAAGGGTCCTCTCATTCTATTGAGTTAACAGCTCAGTAAAATACCAATTAGTCCATATTCAAGTAGACTCTCCTTCCATTTCCAGGATCTTAAAAAAACTTCTCTCTATTTATATGTTATATGCATTTGAAAAATTGCATAAAGATTCTTATACTTATCCTATCTTTTATTCCTAGAAAATCGTGTAAGCTTTCACAAATTAATTGACTTAATCCAGAGATTAACCAAATTTATCTTCTCCTATATCATATTTCATTTGTCTCTACAGATATTGTGTATAAAATATCTCATCAATTTATACATGTGATTAAACGCATATTGATCTGATCTAAATACTCTATGGTATTGCTGAACAAGCATAATTCAACGGTATCAGTTTCAATTCTAAAGTATATTTTTTCTAATATATATATCTATTGTATTTTTATTAACCTTTCTTAAGTTTACTCTATTTCTTGGTATGTTTTTAACATATCGGTATAATGTCAATTAGTCTTGCTCAATTATATGACACTGCCTTATAGTAGTATGTCTTTTATCTTGTCTATTAGTTTCCTTCCCTTTTGTTATTTATTCCCTTATCTCTTTCTTTCATTATTATTATCATTTTATTTCTCTTCAAAAAAAAAGTATAAAAAGTTGATCAGAAGTTAATAATCTATTAGGATGAATCTATTCCACTTTCTTATATATTTATCCACCTTTCTCATTTCACCTGATATTATTTTATAGTTTTTAATTTTAGTTTTTTAATAGTTTGTCTCCATCTCTCCATTAATATCTATGAAATTAATAATATATTATCATATTTTGAAATCTTTCTATCAATTCCTGTACAGTATTCAAACCTTAAATTTTTAATAAAACAAATACATTTATCTTTTTAAAATCAAAGAATAGGAATGCATTGCTGTATTATATTGTAGCTTACCTGTTTCTGTTAAAAATTGATGAATTGCTATCAATATAAATAATTATAATTCTATATCTGTTTCTTTCCTTTTTTTATTTAAATCCTCCTTAGTAAAAAAGCATGCATTTACATTCATTTTTACATTAGTTTTATCCATGTGATTTAATGAAACTTGTGAATACTCTGTTTTGATTTTAAATTCCATAGTTTTTCATAGAAGGAGCACTAGTGTATAATAGAAAATTAAAAATTTTATTGTTCAATAAAGTACAATATTTTGCCTAAAATTAAGCAAATATAACCTAAATTTAACACTGCTAATGAAACATTAATACATTTTAGATATTAAGTTATCAATATTTATTCTTTGTTTCAATCAAAGGCAAGATTTTAAATTGTTAAATTAATATATACTTTTCTGATTGAAGTAATGCTTATTTTGAAATGGCTTTTTCAATTTTTAGATTTAAGTTCTTATTCTTTTAGATATTTTAATAAATCATAAAAACTTTTTTTAAAGATTTCTAAGGTTTTTAATAATATTCATTACTAACAGAATCTTATCCTTCTTTTTTCATTTATTTATATCCTTATGAATATAAATACTTTATCATCTTTTTAATTTCAATATATTAATAAAGCTATATTGGATCTATTATTTCTTAGACTGATTTATTTTTTTTGTTATTATCTTTATAAATGTAATATTTATGTAGATATCAATAAATTAAATTAATTAGATTAGTTTGATTCAATCCTGCATAACAATATTCTTACCAAAAATCCAATATAAAAGTCTCATTTCTTATCTATTTAATAAGACTAAAAGATTTCAAATCTAATCCTATGTCTTTTGACTAAAATAAAAATTAATATAAAGCCTGCAATCAAATAGCTAAGTAAACAAAAAAGAAAAATAGATATATGATGTTATTTGATATTTTTCATCATTTTTATTACTCTTAAGTTTATCTAATATACATCTTTATATTATTGTTATCCTCTATACTAATAATTTATTTAAATATATTATTTATAGATAATTCTCAATTTATTTCATAACGGAGAGATTCTAATATATTATATTTTATAAACTAAAATAAATATTTTTCTTACAAAATTATTTTTTATTATTTGTGAAATTAACTTTACTCTTTAAATAAAAATCTATATTTAGAATCAAAATAATTTTATGTTATTAGATATTGCTTTTCTAGAATACTTTTGCTCAAATTTATCTTTTTTGAAGCTCTATAATTAATCTGATAATAATTATTATGATATATTCTTTTATTTTATGTCTTTATTACTTTCATATATTATATAAATTTAATTATTTTTGTTAATGAATGCTTATAACAAAATAATGATCTTTTCGATTATTCATCTATTTTCAAAAAATTTCAATTTATATATTTAAAATTCTGACCAACATCTTTAATAAACCTTAATTTTTAGATTTATCATAACTTTGAATGCTTTCTATTCTCAATACTACTATAGCCCTTTTTCCAAACTTATTCAAATAGTTTTAGTTCTCTCTTAAAGTATTCTGTATTTTCATAAGTAAATAACCTTATTTAATTATATCGCTTTTAAATAATAATCTTTATTAATTCTTAATCTAAAAAATATAATTTAATTTTTAATTTTATGTGCGATTATTGAATTTATTATATAATTTCTGTTCTAAATTATTAATTAATACTAACTTTCTATATTAACATTAAATATTATTATATTACTTCTTTTTATAATTATAAGATTTCTTCAAAATTTTCAAGTTATTTTATTTCAAGTTATTCACTTTAAAGCACATTTTATTATGAGACTAATTAGTTCAATATTATATTGTTTGTTTTAAATTTCTTAAATTAGTTTATTTCAAAAAAGGGGGATTCAACCAAGTGCCATGGCAAGGTTCCTTCAAAAATGCCATGGTCATATTGACTTCAAGACATGGATGGACTCTAGAAAGGACCGAATAGAAGAATGAAATAATTTAAATAAGCTGTAAAAGATACTTAGTCCTGCCTACTTGGAGGGAATGAAGGGGACAACAAAAAGAAAAAAAAATGAAAAAGGAGGAATTAAAGAAGTGAAAATTCTTAGAAAAATTCTTGTTAATCGCATATAATTGGGATACCTATAAATCTATTGGAACTGATTATGAGTTACACTTTACTTCCTTAAAAAGATATAATAAATAAATAAAATAGAATAAATTTAACTTAGAATTAAATAATAATATAATTTAAGAAAAATTATTTTGACAAACTGAATACAATATTTTTAAAAAATTGAGGTTGTTTATAAGTATTCTATCAAATTTAGATATGAATAATTAAAATAAGAAAGACTTGCTAAGACATAATTAACTATCCGAATCTAATAATTATTCTTTAAAGCAAAAAAATTTATTATTTATTAATATCTATATAGTAATTTACTTTCTCTTTGTTCAATAATAATCACATTCTTATTATTTAGTTGAAGTACAGTAAAAGGAATCATTATAATTATGGTATATCTATCAATTAATATAATTTAAAATTAAAACATAATTCAAATTTTCAATAAATTTATTGGATAAATGAAAATTTGATTATGAATATTTAAATTATCAGAATTTAGATAATTTTAACTCTAATTTAATAAAATAGTTAAATCAAATAAAATAAAAAAAAATTAGTTGATTATAATTGATTTAAATTTTAATATCTAAGATTTATATAAAAAGAATAAAAGAAAGTTTAATTTAAAGTTGAAGTCACAGAAAATCCTAAAAACTTAAGAATAATTTGTGTTAATGACGAAATTAGAGATTTTTGAATGTGAAAGATTATGTGATTATTAAGAATATTCATATTAATACTAATATTATTAACCACAATAATCAAAAAAAATTAATGATTCTGAAAATTATTCAATATTTATCTCCTAATTAAATAAAATTGTTTTTTTTATTTCAACTATAATTCTTAACAGCATTTAACAAAAGAATTTTTTGTAAAAGATATGTATGATATTATAATATCATTTAAAAATTGAAATTGAAAATTATTATTAATAAGTATAATTCGAATAATACCTATAGTTTATCGATAATGTAAATATTCGAACTAATTTTTTATAGGGTATCTAAATCAAAGAAATAACTATTTAATGAATTTAAATTTTAAATTGAGCTAACGGAAGTGAAATAATAGAATAATTCTGATAATACTAAGCATATACTATAAAAGCATTTGTTAATTAGTTATATCTTCGATGAAATAGGTATTAAAGATTTAGATCGATTTACAATAATAGATGATCCATATATAAATTGCAGTTAATAAAACTAGTTGTTCATATATCAATAAAATAACGTCCGAGAATACAATTTTATTTTAAATCAAACTGTTTTTTATTCTTCCCATTTGTTTTTAGCATTCTATAATTATATTGATCATGACGTTTTTTACTGAAAATTTCTTAATTTTTATTGATTACTTTAAAGATTGCATTTTAAATTTTCATTTAATAGTCAATTTAAATCATTGAGAAATATTTTCATCAACGAATATAAGGTAATTTCATTGAATTTAACCTGATCCTTTGTACATTAATTTAAGTAAATTATTATAAAAATAAAAGATTTTTTATATTTGGATATTCAAATATTTCAGTTATTGAAAAAAGGAAATCTTAGTATGGATATCTAGTTTTAATATTAAAAATTTCAAAATGCCATATAAATTATTAAATTATGTCTAAATTATTTTTCAGATTATTTTATTTTCTTATATTAAATTTATGATAACTATAATTAATATTACCCTTACATAAATACATTAATCTTTGATATAAACAATCCTTAAATAGAATTATAAGTGTTAGTTAGATATTTTAATAGTAAATTATAAACTGAATTGTAGCCAATTAATATTTTTAATCATTTTTTTAAAGATTATAAAATAAATATTATGAATTACTTTGTCAGATGCTGAAATATTTTAAATATTTATAATAATTTGAGTAAAGAATTGTTAAAGTTTATATATATTAAAGTAGTTGATCAGAATAATAGTATCATATACGATTCTTTAATTTATGAATCATATTAATATAGAATCTCAAAAAGTATGTGATCAAGTAAAAAGTTATCCTAAATATGAAATTACTAATTATAAAAATGATTTAACAGCTTTCCAATATTTTTATTAGATAATACTGACAATTCCATTTTATTTAAATGAAATTTGACTTGGATATAAATTTAATTAAATCAAAAAGATCTTTCAAATGAGAACTCACAAAATAGAGAATTGGCTATAACATAAAAGTATATTCAAAAATTAATTCCTCAATAAGAGTAGAAGATGAATTTTATAAATGAGCAAATTAATAAGCTGATTTTAAAGAAAGAGTATAAAAAGATTAAGCCAATGATTATTTATAAAGATTTAAAAAAATGATATTTTAATTAAAAATATAAATAATTTAATAGATTGGTGAAAATACAAAAGGAGAGAAGTAGTCTATTTAAATATCATATGACTTATAAAATCACATAGATTTCTATATTTGATTCTCTTTAATAATGGTATTTTGATATTAATATTTAGGTAGGTATGTTGAGATAAAGTACTTTTAGATGTAAGATTTCAAAAGTCAGAAGGACATTAAAGAAGCAACTTTTCTTGTATTCTCAATTACACTGAGTTTTAAGGTTGGAATATAGATAACAAACACTTGTATTAAAGCTCTTGATGATACTAAAACTTATAATTCAATATATTGTACAAATTTAACTTGGATGTATTATTTATCAATAAGCATATAATAATCTAAGAAGTTAAAATTTAGTGAAGTTCAAATTAAAGAAGCCTCTCCAAAATTAGAATTATAAAAATATATTTATATAATAAACTAATATTCTTATTATTTTAAATATTTAAAAATAAGCAATCAGTTTTCTTAAGTATTTGGATCAGTTGAAAGTGGAAATAAGGAAATTTTATTGAATTTATATTTATGATAATTTAGTAACTATTTAACAGAAAGAAAGATTTTTTTCTATAAACTATATTCTTAATTGGAATCAGAAATTAGTTAGTGATCTTTTGATCCTACAAAAACGATCAACCTAATATTATTGAGTGTAGTATTATACATATATAGATTAAGTTTTTGGTATATCTTTTGATCTTAAAAAGCAATTACTCCATCTCTCTACTATTTCTGTTTCTTAGTCTCGACTAGTTACTCAAAACACAGATATCCTGAAGCATTATTGAAATTGTTTTTTATGAGAATAGATACACTGAATTCCCAGATATATTTTAGTTAATGGAAAAGGGCGACAGAGAAATACTTTATTTACCTTTTATAGAATAATTTGGTATCGTCTCAAAGCTAAAGTATTTATAAAGCCAAAAATTATGCAATCATTGAGAAAAAAGGAGAAACTGAAATAGGCAAAAGGTACCCAAGAGCTTTTATTTATCACAATCATCATCATAAGATTATTACTCTAATATTTAGTTACATTTTTATCTCTAAATATAAGTAAATCATAATATACAGATTAAGAAATTAAAATTTTGCTCTTTACAAAAGGAAAAAGTATTTTAAATAAAAAATGAAATTTCTAAGAATTGATAGCTATGAATCATATTATTTTGATTTTTAGGTTATGATTAAATTATTAAAGCTAATATCAAATTTAACCCAATATTACATAAAATAGCTCTATCCAAATATATTTTCATTATTATTTTTAATTTTATTCTCAATTTGATTTTTAAATAATACATATAAGAGTTCATTTAGAAATAACATATATAAAATAATAATTCTGTAAAATACAAATATTATTTTTTTTAATATGATGATTTAATTTTGATACTTTTTTTTGTTTTTGGAGTTTAATATAAAAAACTTTTGCAGGAAAAAATAGAAATTTTAAAATTTAATTTCGTTTAAAAATAGATGCCAAAATTTGACTAAAATATTTCGTGCTTACCATTTTATATTTAGTTTACACTAGTAATGTAATAAATTTATAAGCAAGAATTTTTATCATATTTCCTATTGCTTTAATAAATCTATTTATTTGTTTTGAACTTAAATGATACTAGGAATATAAAATATTAAAATTATATTCTAGCTATTATTTATCAATAATTCAAATCTTTGCATTTTAAATTCTGCTTGATATCAAATTCCATCCATTTACCAATTTTTTAACCATTATTGTTATATTCACCAATGTAAGTGATTTAAGATAGATTCCAAAATCCTTAACTCAATTCAACCCATTTCCCAACTTTGAATGAACCTAATTCTATTTCATCATATGATCCACCACCGCTAAAAAATTAGATAGATAATAAATATGATATTACATCAATTTATTCTCAAACAATACATCCCAAGTTCCAACTTTTTTATCATTTTCATATTAGCCACTATAAATTACTTGTGAACCTTTACAAAATCCATCACTTAACTCAATCCATCTCCCGACCTTTATTTAACTCTGTTCATCATATGAACCACCACCACTAATATTTTATAGATATTGATATAAATCTACATCACTTTCTCATCAAACATTATATCCCACCTTCCAAATTTAATTCCATTTTTGTATTCACCAGTATAAGTTACTTATGACTCTTTCCTAAACCTTTTACTTTCTTCAATCCATCTTCCAACCTTAATTGAACCTCCTTCATCATATTCACCACCCCCACTAAAATTATTTGCTTTTTAAATAATTTTCTACATTTATTAATTTCGGCAAAATATATTCCATCTACCAACTTTTTTATTGTTTTTATAATCACCTGAATAGGTTACTTATGAATCCGACTAAAATCCATCACTTAACTCTACCCATTTTCCAATCTTAATTTCCTCTTCATCATCATATAAACCCCCACCACTAAATTATTATAATATTTACATCCATTAAAATTACTCAACGTAATTCTACTTATAAAAAATATCCCAATTTCCAATTTTCTCACCATTTTTATATATACCATTAAATATGAGTTAAAAAGAATCATTGAACCCCTCACTTAGTTCAATCCATCTTCCACTCTTTTTGGATTACCCTTCCACTACATTATATATTCCACTTGCTCTAAATTTTTATCCTATTTTCATTATTATTTACATCAATTTATATTTTTATTTTATACTATGTCTAAACCAAGTATCCCATACTCCAACTTTTAAACCATTCTTATCATATTCACCAATAAAAGTGATTGAAGAATATGTTCTATAATCATCAATTAATTCAACCCACTTTCCATATTTCATTGAAAAATCATTATAAAATCCACCTCCACTAAAATTATATCAAATTAATTTTACATCTTCATTTTCTTTCCATTCTATTTTTCTTAAATATACCATCTACCAACTTTTTAACTATTTTCATATTCACCATTATGCGTTACGCATAAACTATTCTCATAAGAATCATTTAGCTCAGTCCACCATCCAATTTTAATTGCTCCTTTAGCATATAATCCACCACCTCTAATAATTTTATTGATGTTAATATTTACATTTATTAAATTTTTTAGAGTGTTTAATCCTTTAAACAAATATTCCATCTTCCAATTTTTTATCCATTCTGATATTCTCCATTTTATGTAATCTATAAATTATCCTTAAAAAATTCACTCTATTCAATCCATTTTCCAATCTTAATTTAACCTTTTTCATCATAAAATCCACCACCTCTATAATATTTATTTTTCTTTAAAAAAATTAATTTTACATCTATTGATTTCTTCCATCCCAATTCCAAAAAATATCCCATTTACCAACTTTTTAGCCATTTTTATATTCACCATTATATGTTACTTAAAAAAGATACTTATATTTATCATCTACCTCAATCCACTATCCATTCTTAAATTATCCATCATTATCATACAACCCACCACCACTTTATATTAATTTTATA